GGAAGTTCCAAAATACCAAGCTGTCCCTCACTACCCCGGGGACTGGAGAAAAGCCCAGGAGCCTCCGCTTCTCCTTCTGGCCCTCTTCGCTGTTACCACCCCCCCCTTGTCTGAGCAGAGAGCTGGGCACTTGGCTTCTGTGCAGGGCCCAGGTTCGAGTCCCAGCTCTGCTACTCCCTAGCCCTGCGTTAGCACCACCAGCCTCTGGTCCATCTCAGAAGTGTGGGACGTCGCTGGGGGAGCTCCGATGAGAAGCAGGAATCAGAATCCTAGGGGGAGTTGGGCTGCTTGCTAGGGAGCCCTGCGCCAGAGGGTTTGATCCCCTTCCTGTCTGGGACCAGGGACCCAACCCTGGTGGCCCGAGGGTGTTCCTCGACTTGGAGAACAGCGTGAGACAAGCGCGCTGCTGTCCTCCGGGTGGGAGGGTGGGAAACGCGCCATGTGTGGGGAGGGGGACCCAGGTGGCCTCGGTCTGTGTGATGTGACACCAGCAAAGACCAGAAGTGCGGGGCACAGACACCTTGGATCACCATTCTGTCTATGTAGAAACAGAGGCTCGAGACAAAGATCTAGGTCTAGGTGGGGTGACGTCCCCACAAATCCCACGACCTGCTCCACTGGGTCTTCAGAGGCCCCTGATCAGCAGTTTTGTTTTAATGGAGAGCCCAGCAGTCTGCTGCTTGGTAAGGTGGGTCAGGATTTAGAAAGGCCTGGGGGAGGGGAGGAAGGGACGCCAGCTCCGATGGCCACTGCCCGAGGGGGTCCCGGGCCGCAGAAGAGCCCTGAGCCCTGCTTCCGATGGGCAGTCTCAGCTAGCTGTGCAGGCCACACCTTGCCACATCGTGGTGACCAGGGGGCAAATTGTGTCCAGGAGGGGCTGCAGGGCTCACTTCCACTGGCCCTGGATGGGAGCAGAGGGAAAAGAGAGATTCGCAGATAGAGGAGGGGGCCCCCAGTCTCCAGCTCCCAGGATCTGCACTAGAATAGCAGCCGGAGCTGACTTCTCCCCGAGGGACTAGATTGGCATTTTCATCCTTTCTGTGCAGCCTTAGAGCCTATGACAGTCCCCAGTCTCCCCTCCCTAACGCTCCTAAGCTACCCTTTCTCAGCGTCTGCTTGCTACAAAGAAATCTCCAGCCTCCTGAATGCATAAACGCTTTATTGAGACCAGAGAAAAACCAACATAAACCTCCCTGGCTTGTAGGTGCTGTCAAGAGAAGCCCCCTCCCTCCCGAAGCAGCCACCAGGACCCTGCCTGTCCCCCTCCCTTCAGCTGGCTGGGGCTGACTGCTGGGCTGCAGACTAGGAGAAAGGGCCGAGGGGACTGTAGCCAGGCCTGTAAGCACGGAGGTTTTCTGCTTACAAAACCCCAGCTCCCTTTGGGGATAGGCATGTCATCTTTGCTTATAGGCAAGAAAAATGCTCAGAGAAAAGGCAACCGACCAGGGGCCCCCAGCAGGCAGGGGATGGAGCTGGGGTCCGAGGACAGTGCCCACTGCCTGGGGAGCGCCTTTCTGAGACATTTCCATGCTGACTCCCTCGGTGAGGATCCACCCCTCATCGCCTTTCCAGAGCTGGGGAGGGCAGGGGTCAGAAGGGTCCTGGGTAGGGGAGAAGAGTCAAGGCGGGGTCCCTCAGCTGCTCCTTCAGGGCTCTGGCGGTCCTCCAGCTGCCCTTGTGGCTTGAGCAGGAGCTGGGAGCCCTCGCCCACATGGCAGCCCAGCCCCGAGGTCCTCCCACCTCGCTGGGCTTCTGGCTGAGAACCCAGCTCTTTCCCGAACGGCCTTCTGGGTGGGATAATTTTGGAAGCTGAAGTCAGGGGCCTTGGAAGGAGGAAGAGAGGACGGAGTGTCAGGGAGACCTTGGTGAGCTCCCACGGTGCTGTGGCTGGCGGGACCTCCGGCTGGAGAGACCCCCGCCCGACTCCTTGCTGGCTTACATGGGAACAGAGCAGGGCCTCGGAGACCAGGAGGCTGCGGTGGGCACCGCACTGCTCCCGCCAACCCGCCTCCAAAACCACTCCTCCCGGTGGAGTCCGCTGCAGAGAAATCTGCGCCGAGACAGGTTGCGCCAGAGGGGGGCCGCCACACCTGTCTCCATCTCCTGCTCAGCACTGGCCCTGGGGGCTCCTCCGGCCCTCCCCTAGCTAGGCCCTAAAATGCCAAGAGTGTCCTGAAACTTGCCAGGGCGTGGGCAGATGGCCCTGAGGCCAAAACACCCACCTCTGGTTCAAAGAGGCAAAACCCCTCCTCCCCCGCATGGCGGGGGGAAGGGGCTGTGGCTGGGTGCGCAGCCGCTTCCGGGTACCTGGGATCTGTATGTAAATTAAGCACCAAAGAATGACCCATCCCCAAATCCTGACTTCCTGGGTTCCAGGAGGTCGACAACTCTAACCGCCCCTCCCTCCCCCTCTCAGTCCGCCCAGCGTCTGGTTGGGGGAGAGGGATGCTCCCAGGCCAAGCCTCCTCTCCCAGCAGGGCTCAAAACGGAGGCTAGGGGCTGCTGGGAGGGAGGACAATGGGGCCATCGCCAGGAGCTCTGCAGGGGGAGGGTATACGGTGGGGTCCCCAGTGTGGCCGGAATGCTGCTTTCTCCCTGTTCAAGTGTGTGTGTGTGTGTGTGTGTGTGTGTACACACGTGTGCATGAGCGCAATGGTGAGACTCAACATGTGTCACTGTGGACAAAGGGTTCCTGTTGTGCGTGTGTTGGGGGAACTTGCGCGCTGGACAACTGCAGATGTGTGGTTTTGTAAGCGTTTCACCAAGCGTGTGTGACGCATCAGTTTTGGAAGCTGAGCGTGTGCTTGTGACTGTCAGGTGTGTGCTGGTGCCTGTGTGTGACAGCCCCTGAGTTTACCTCTGGGCGTGAGAAGGGCCCTTCCTGTGGCACAGGCACGAGCGCACGGTGCCGTGTGTGCAGGGCGCACCTGTGTGTTGTGTCGGGGTGCACGTGCTCCGGCGTGCGCGGTGCTGCCTGCGCCGCTGTGACCTGCGGCTGGGCGCTGGCGCGCTCGGCTCTGGCTGTGTGCGGCTCCGAGGGGTCTGCACTTTCTGCGTCCTCATGGCGGAGGAGGAGATCGGGGGAACGAGGCTCTTTCTGGTGGTTTTTCTGAGTGCGTGTGTGGTGATGTGCGTGGTCCACGTCGTGGTGGTGTGCATTTGTCTTCTCCTCGGCATCTGAGCCCCGGCAGGCGTGCTCCGGACCTCGGTGAGAAGTGCTCCTGCGCGCGTCTCCGCACCGCCGGTGCGCGGAGCGGTCTCCCGGGGGTCCGCGGCCCGGGCGCGGCTCGGCTCCGGCGACCCCC